TTGTTTATATGTTGAAGAATCCCAACACTTGAGGGACGTTAATAGAAATATCTTTGTCTGGACGTAAAATCCCAAGACTTTGATAGATGTAATAACATATAAATGTGTAATGTGTTGAATCTTTCATACACTTGAAAAGAATTATCTATATATATCTGTCCTTTATTATGTTTAAAATGCCAAAACTTGAGAGAAATAATAAATACATACATCTTGTCTACTTGTTGAAATCCCAACACTTGAGGGACATTATAGAAATATGGCATGTCTTCAACGTGATAAATCCAAAACTTGAGAGACATAAAATCAAAATATCTTTTTTTAAAATATTTTTTAAAATTCCCCCAACACCTTGGGGAAATTAAAGAAAAAAAATGCTTGTCTGGAATTTAAAAAAACCCCAAAACTTTTGAAAAAAGAGGGTTAAAATAACTATAATTGTTTTGTGTTTGAAAATTCCCAACACTTTTAGAGGAAAAATTATATAAAATATAATTTGTCTTTATAAAGGGTTAAAAACCCCAAAAATTTTTGAGACCCCTAAATAAAAACATCTTTGTCAAATTTTTTTGCCCCCCAAAACCTTTTTTAAACATTATAAAACACATACATTTGGTTTAAACCCCAAAATTTAGAGATAAAATACTTTTATATTTGGGTTTATTTAAAAAATAATTTTTTTTCAAATTATGTTAAAATTTCCCAAATTTGGGGGTCTTTATAAAAAAATTATAGTTTGTCAAACACTTTAAAAAATTTCCCCAAACCCCCTTGAGAGAAAAAATTTAATTTAACCCTTTGGTTTAAATTACAAATTCTTGTTTTATATGTTTGGAATTTGCCCCCAAACCCTTTGAGGGGGGGAAAAATTATCAGAAATTTTTAAAATTTGCCCTTAGAGGGTTTAAAATCCAAAAAACTTCCCCTTTAGAATAAAAACATATATCTTGTTTTTTTTTTTGTTGAAATTTTCCCAAAAAAATTTGAGGGCCCCTTTAAAAATAAGAAATAAAAAATTTGTCCGGGGGAAACCCCGTTAAAATTTTTTGGGAAAAAAGCCCTTTAAATACCCCCGGAAAAAAAAACCAATTATATCAGGGTTTTTTTTGTTGTTGAAAATTCCCAAAAACAATTTTTAAAAAAGGGGACTTTATTAAAACATATTTTTCCGTTGTTTTTTCCTTTTGTTTTTGAAAAAGGGGGCCAAACATTTTTTAAGAAGATAATTAAAAATTAAAACTTTTAATATTTTTGTTCAAATATGTTGAAGAAATCACCCAAACATTTTTAAGGGTCTTTTTTAAATAAAAAAAATTTGGGGTAACTTTTTAAAAAATGCCCAAACTTGGTATACATAAAAAAAACATAAAAAAGCGTTCTATTGTTGAAAAATCCCCAAACCCCAATTTTAAAGACCCCAATTAAAATTATTATTTTTGTTTGTTTAAAAATTGTTTAAAATTTTTTTTCCAAAACACTTTTGGGGAACATTATATTAATTTTAATTAAAAATGTCGACCCTTAAAATTTTTCCCGCAAAAACCCAACCTTAAAGAAAAAATACATCCCCTTCCTTGTTTTAGGGTTGAAACCCTTCACACTTAAATTTTTTAAATTTAAAAATATAATTTTTGGTTTCATACACATTAAAAAATTCCAAACACCTTAGAAAAAAAATTTGTAATTTTTTTTCCCTTGTTTTTTTTAATTGTTAAAAACCCAAACCCCTTGGGGACTTTAAATAAGGGTTTTATAAAATTTTCCTAGTTTGTTTAAACCCCCAAAAAACCAAATTGAAATGAAATAAAAAAATTTAAAAAAATCTTTTTAAAATGTTAAAATTTCCCCAAACCCCTTTAAGGAAGATTAAAATACCTTTTATTTTGGCCCTTAATGTCAAAAATCCCCAAAATTTTGAAAATTTTTTCTTTTTTAAAAACCCGTTTTTTAAAATATTTTTTTTGACTTACATGTTAAAAAACCCCCCAACCTTGGGAGGGGTCAATTTATTGAAAAGATTTTTTTTCTAACTTTAAAAAATTGCCCAAAAACAACTTGAAAAAACCTTTTAATACATTTTGGCCCTTGTTTAAATATGTTAAAAAAATAAAAACACTTTAAAGAAAAAAATAATACAGTAAATTTTATAAAATTAACTATTTTTTTGGGAAAATCCCAAACCCCCTTTGAGGGGGTTTAAAAATTTGGGTTAAAAATTTATTTGTCAAACCAACATTTTAAAATCCCAACACTTTTGAGGACCTATTTAAAAATTATTTTTTCCGTTTAATGAATGATGGAAAAACCAAACACGGGAGGGGAACAATTATAAAAAAAATTCATTCCGGTTCCCGTTAAAATTTTGGGCAAAATTTTTGGATAGACTTTAATAAAATAGCATTGTATGTTTTTAAAATTTCCCAACATTGAGAAAACTTTAATTACATATATTTGTTCCCCTTTTGTTAAAAATTCCCAAAAAAACTTAAAAAGAAAAAAAACAAAAAAAAATACAAAAAAATCTTTTTTTCCCTAAAAATGTTGAAATTTTCCCCTAAAAACTTGAGGGAAATTATAGAAATATCATGTCTACTAGACGTTAAAATCCCAAACATTGAGAGATATTCTAATATATCTTGTTTTATACAAATAGTGCTTTTCTATATGTTGAAAATCCCAACACTTTCAGAGAACCTCATCACTGATTAATATCATTTCAATATGTTTAAATCTTAAAAACTGAGAGACATTATACATATTTCTTTGTTCTACAATGTTGAAATCCCAACATTTGATGGTCATTATAGAAATTATCTTGTCTACATGTTAAAATCCCAACACTTGAGAGACATTAATACATCTTAGTCTTTATGTTGAAAATCCCAGCATTTTGAAAACACTAAATGAGTCATTACAGACGTTTTTACAAGATATATATGTTTGTTCAGCAAAATAAAATGTAAAATATAAATGTTAGTTATTTAATTATACTTTCGTTTCTAATAGATTTATTTACACTGTATCGCCAGTGTTATTTTACTTTATGGCTTTTTTTGTCCGTTTACTTTCTTTATCGTCCGCGAGTGTCCTATACAGTATATGCACGTAAGAATAGTTTTAGATGAAGACGTTAAAAGTCTAACTACCTTACCATTTATTTGCAATATCTATACGAAAGAAAAGTTATTTCTGAAGGATAATGGAGTAACAAAACATGAATTATCATATAAAAATATAAATGTATCTATAATAAACGTAATAAAAGTGACATATAAAATTCAATCCTTTTTTAATTCTTTCAAAGCACTATTAACTAAATTTATCAGATTTCCATTATCACGGATTTTAATTGTAAATTAAAACACGTGCCATTGTATATCCAATTATTATCAAGCTACCATCGCCAAATTAACCATCTGCTATTCATATCGTCCGTGTTTCGCTCTTTCTCTATAATTATTGTGAGCGTTTAGACTGTGCCATTGTATACACTCAAGTGTTGGGATATTTTGTTCCTGAAGTGTTAATAGATAGCCAATTCGGTAAATTGATGGCCCTTTCTGGCTTAAGTAGAAATTATTTTCTACAGAATATGAGGTCCCTACAGTACATTTTCCTCAGATGACCTACATTTTTCAGAACATGAAATTATCAGTTTAACTGGTAAATATTGGATAAAATACAGTGTCTATTCTAGGAATTGAAAAATAGGGGTGATTTTCCCCCCTCTATTTCAAAAAAGGGGGCGATTTTCAAAATCAAGGGGTGCCAATATAAACTGCCAATGTTAAGTCATCTGCATTAAGTTTACACTGAGGCGTTCAAACGATGAAATAATTAAAACAATAATATTTATTTAAGGCAGCAGAAGTTGTCCCCCCTTAATTTTTAAACGAAAACATATTATTACAGAACTGTCGCGATTGATTTATAAAGGGATTGGCAATACAAGTAATCGGCCTATCTTTCACGTCTAGATCGTAGCCAAGCTAGGAATTGCCTCATTTTTCTTGATTATTTACTACACTAAAATGGCGCCCAACTGTCAGACCTAGCACACCAGTTCCGGTCGATACGGAAACATTCCGTTTAATTTCCGTCAACTCGCGTAACCAATACCATACGGTACTTAATTATTATAATAGCTTACAGTTACCTCCCTTCGGTTTTCGGTGTAAATGTAAACAAAACAACCAAATATAATGTGGGATGGAAGTTTTACGTTTTTTTTACTTTTTTTATAGATGCGCGATTTTCACGCACATGATTTTGAATTGTGCGCGATCTCTGAAATACTAGCGTGAATCGCGCAATCGCGCGTCCTAGAATAGACACTGAAAATAAAGAAGTATTTTCAACACACAACACACGTGGGGCAGCTTTGGATTTTCCTATCAATGACAGAAATTTATTTGAAATGAAAATATTTCTGACAATTTTTAAAATTTATCCAAATTCAAAAAAGCAGCACTTCATTTTTACTTTAATGTTGGGAACAGTCATTTGGTGGCGTTTAGTGTGTAAAGAAACACATTTTCAGATTACACCGGGATAGGCAAGGACAAGGTACCTGCGGGTCATACTATACTTAAAACCAGGGTGTTCACTAGCCATGAAATCCTGAGGGTCATTTTGACTAAGTTTTACCGACTACAAGGCCAAATCCCCATGATTTTAACAAACTTTGACCCCCAAGTTAAAATCCTGAGGGTCAAATCAGGCCTTTTGGAAATTTGGAGGGTCAAAGAGTCATTTCAAGGGTCAAACGGACACCCTGTAAAACTATATTTTAATACTCACACCCACCAAAAGAATGATTCTTACACATCAATATTTGGCTTGTCACACAATCTATGGAAATCCATGTTCTTTAATTAAGGTGTTTGTACTTAAAAATATACATTGTAAAGTATATATCTATCTAAGTTTACTTAAACATTGTACATTGAAAAGATATGATTGGATATATAATAAAACATGTTAATATTTTACAATTGCAGATAAAATCACAAAGAGATTTAGGCACACACATTCAAAAGTTGGATAGATACAAGTGTTTTAATAGTGTTATTAAAATATTACAAGATTCAGAAATTTAGAATTAAGTTCACAAAATGCGATAAAATGACAGTTCCATGGAGTGAAATACAAGATGTGAAAAATAAACCTTTGAATATTCCTGTTTATCAACAAAGTGTTACATGTTGCCGATCACCATCTTTAGGTAGAATTAGTGAGACAAATTCTTCATTTAATCCAGAGTACAATAATCTACATAGCAAAACTGTACGAGACCTAGCCGTTGGATTTCTGGGTTCGATCCTGCTTCGGAGAGAAAATGATATACCTAGGACAGAGAAAAAAGTAGTTTCTGGGATATTTTCATTCCTTTATTGTGAGATTACTTTGAACAAATTTGGTGAATTGATTGTTCAACTTATTGGTTACATTCTTATTCACTATTTCAATTTTGAAAAGGATATTTCAAAATGGTCACTTTCCAAAATATTGATAAGAACAACGGGAAAACACAGGAAATCTGTGCGGAAGGCAAGTTGCTTTGGAATGTCGTATCTGGACCAATTTCAAAAGATTTGTGAGATATGTTTACTGTAAGTTTATAAATGTTTTTTTTGTGACACATACATTGTATTTATTCAATGCATACATTGTATTTATTCAATGTATCAGCAAATTAAACTAAATATTCGAAAATTTATGTACCAAGTTAAATATGGATGAGTACTTTAAAAGATGCGCTAGTGAACAACCATTTAAAGACAATGAAGATAAAAAGTTTGAGTTTCGCAGGCTTTTAAGCTTCCAGAACTGGCCACAAGAGTGTCCTGTTTTTCCCATAAAACTTGCTAAAGCTGGTTTCTATTATAACAATAATGGAGATGAGGTGAAATGTTTCCGGTGTGGGACTGTGAAGTCGGATTGGCAAGCGGAAGATGATCCTAATGAAATACATAGACTACTGAATCCTGATTGTCCATATTTAACTGGGAATGAAAGTGAAGTTAATGTTCCTATAAGTAAGCCTGATTCAGATCATGAAGACTCTAGTCTTATAAGAAGACTCAATAGTGTGATTGAGGAAAGAAGGGAAGCAGTAGAAAATGAGACTGAAATCGCAGTAGAAAATGAAGCCGACAATGTGACTGAAGCAAGAAGTCAGGAAGATCAGAGCGAACCGGATGAAAGAAGTTCAGAGAGCCCAGAAGCTAATGTATCAAGATCAAGATCATTAGGGACTCTTCAGGACTCAACTGTTAGTGGTTTGAAAAGTAGTTCATTGCCTGAAAGCAGATCATCATCTACAATTGACACAGCTCCAAGAGGAAATGAGAATTTGGCTGATTCAGCAATGATGCTGGATAATTCAGCAGGAGTATTGCATGATACAGGCAGAAGTAAAAATGAAAGTAAGTCAAAAAGTGACAAAAAGAAGGAGAAGCAATTGAAAAAGCAAAAAGAAAAGAAAGACAAAAAATTCTTTAAGGGGACTAAAGGAAGCAGTAGTAGTAAAAGGGGTAGTGAATCCAACGTGACCCCACAGAGAGGTTATGATATACCACCTCCTACAGGGGAGGGTATTGGGCCTCTTAGGTTTGAGAGAAACAGACTGGAAACATTCAATACTTGGCCTAGTAATGCATGTGTGCCTGCAGCAGAGCTTGCGAAAAGTGGTTTCTATTACACAGGGTCGGGAGATAGGGTGCAATGTATTTTCTGTAAAGGAGTTCTACGCAACTGGGAGGAAGGGGACCGCCCACACATTGAGCACAGGAAACATTTCCCGAGATGTCCAATTGTTCTTGGAATGAAGATGGGAAACGTTCCTCTTCCCTTAGATCAGAGTCCAACTTCAACATCTGCTGGGTCAACACAAGGAGCTGCAGGATTAAATGCAGGAACAAATGTTGCAGATTCTTTGGGTAACATGGAGAATCTTGGTATAGTGACAGACAGACCAAAGAATCAACATTATGCTATAGAGTCTCAAAGGCTGTTATCGTTTCAGGGCTGGCCTCCATATAAACACCAAACTCCACAACTATTAGCAGAAGCAGGCTTCTGGTATGCTGGTAAGTACAATCATGTGTAAAATTGTGTTACAATAATACTGTAATAGAATGTTTTTTATATTTCATAAGTTGGGTGCCGCTGCGGTAAATGGACTTGTTCCCTATTATAAGATTAATTAGTTATGCATATAAATTGTACTTGCTAAATGGCTAATTGTAACCGCCTCTGTGGTCGAGGGGTTAGAGTCGATGACTTCTAATCCAGTTACCTCTCTGGCGTGGGTTGGATCCCCGGGAGTTGCTTTGGTAGTTTAGCGCGGAGGAAGGTAGTCTAGTACTGGTGTAACTCTCCAGGAATGATGGTTAGGAAACTACCCGCCTATATGACTGAAATACTGTTGGGAAAAGGCGTAAAATAAAACAAACAAACAAACAAAAATTGACATGCCCTACATGTACTTAAGATTAAGATCCATCCAGAACTTAAATATCAAATACTGAGTCTGAATTGGTCATCCAATAGTATAAGTATAAGGGTAAAGTAATTGGATAATATTGCTAGGTAGATATGCAGTGGGGCTTAGCTTTTTGTTGCTTTGCTTGATTGCTTTTAAAGGTGTTAACAGATTTTGCACTGTAATGTTTTTTTTTAGGTTTCAATGACAATGTGAAATGCTTTTACTGCGATGGTGGCTTGAGGAACTGGGAAACAGGTGATGAACCCTGGGAAGAGCATGCACGCTGGTTCCCAAAATGCCCCTTCGTGGTACAGGTTAAAGGTCAAGAATTTATTAACAATGTCCTACGAGAGAAAGGGGTAGAACTTCCTGCCAGTATTCAGGTACCAGTAAGTAAATTCATTTTGATATTTTTATGTTCTCTTTACTCAGTGTGTTAAGTGGAAAGGCTTTTCAGATTTATATGCTCACCCCAAAGGGAGAGCGTATAGTTACTGCCTTGTGAGCCCATCACATTCTTGTCCTTAAAAAGTATTAAAAAAATATGAATATAACTTCATGTTATAGAGACCAATGAGTGAAAGTGCAGTGTCAAAGAACCTCACTAAATATTTTAACTATATTGAGGATATTCCTTATTTATAAGTTTATTATGATTTTTCTGAGTATAACTGCTTTATTATCAACAATATCTCACGGAATATTTACAAGTGAGAGGTATAACAATAAAACTCTACATGACTTACTTGTTAAATTATCTCCCTTTATAATTCTTTTTTAATGATTTTTGTCAATGTACATGTAACTTTTAGACTGCAAATGATATCGCATTGAAGCTTCACACAGATATCATATAGAGATAAGTGATAGGAAGTTCAGTGTTAAAAAAAAATCTTTTAGCTCAACTACCTGTATTCATAGAATAGTGTTGGTGTCACATAGGCTTATCAGTTTGGTTTAAGTTTTATGGACAATTTCTAGTACAACATTATATCTGTCAGGTCCCTTTCCAAGACCCATAACTCTAGCATGGACTTTGACAGAATTATGGCCTTTTTGTGTTGCCTTGAAAAGTTGAAATATAGGGGTTACTTTTGCCGGCAGCATTGTTGTCGGTGTTGGAGGTGGCGTTCCCCTTACGCTTGTGAGGAGCATAACTCAGTCATTATAAGTGAGATTGACTCCAAACTTGGTATGCATGCTTCTTTCAATGACCGGAAGTGCAGTGAACAAGAATCATTACTCTGCACTTCTTAATTTTTTATGCTCCCCGAAAAATTTTGGGGGACATATGCGCCCCCTTGTAGTCTGTCCGCCGTAAAACCCGGGGTACTTGTGTGATTGGGGAAAAAAGGGGAAACAGTAAATTCTTTTGTTTCCTTTTCATTCCTTTTTTATTGTGTTTTTTTTTAAGCATTGTGTGACTAAAAATGGCCAAAAAGATCAAAGGAAAAGTCACATAAGTACCATATTTGTGAGTACATCCGTCCGTCCGTCCGCTTTTCTTGTCCGGGACATTACTTTGAAACAACAAGAAGTATCAACATGAAACTTTGTAGGTAGATAGATCTCATTGAGTAGGTGTGCAGTGCACAAGAACCATAACTCTGCCTTGCCTAATTTTTGAATTATTCCCCTTTGTTTATTTTTACACTTTGAACTTTGTCCGGGACATAACTCTAAAAGTATAAAAGGTATCAACATGAAACTTAGTAGGTAGAAAGATCTCATTAAGTAGGTGTGCAGTGCACAAGAACCGTAACTCTGCCTTGCCTAATTTTTGAATTATTGCCCTTTGTTTATTTTTACTCTTTGAACTTTGTCCGGGACATAACTCTAAAACTATAAGAGTTATCGACATGAAACTTTGTAGGTAGATAGATCTCATTAAGTAGGTTTGCAGTGCACAAGAACCGTAACTCTGTCATGCCTAATTTTTGAGTTATTGCCCTTTGTTAATTTTGACACTTTGAACTTTGACCTGGACATTAATCTAAAATTATAAGAGATATCAACATGAAACTTTGTAGATAGATAGGTCTCATTGGGTCGAAGTGCAGTGCTAAAGAATCATAACTCTGCCTTGCCTTATTTTGAAGTTGTTGCCCTTTGTTTATATTTACTTTTTGACTTTTGTCAGGGACATGTCTCTAAAACTATAAGAGATACCAACATGAAACTTTGTAGGTAAATAGATATCATTGGATAGAACTGCAATGCTTAAAGAACTTTAACAAAGCCTTGTCTAATTTTGGAGTTATTGCCCTTTGTTCATTTTTACACTTTGAATTTTACCTGGGACATAACTCTGAAACTATAAGAGATATCATCAGGAAACTTTATAGATAGATAGATCTCATTGAATAGAAGTGCAGTGCAAAAAAAAACATAACTCTGCCTTGCCTAATTTTTGGGTTTTTGGCCTTTGTTCATTTTTTTATACTTTCCTTGCCTAATTTTTGGGTTTTTGGCCTTTGTTCATTTTTTTATACTTTCCTGTGTCCAAAACCTTCTCTGGGAGCATCACTCGGTTCAACCCGTTCTTGTAAGTTATTGCCCTTCGTTAATTTTCATACTTTATTTTTGTCCGTGGCCATTTCTCCTAAACTATAAAAGCTATGGACTTGAGTAGTGTTGATAAATAACCTCTATTTAAGAAGAAAATGCTTAAGTGACAGTTATACTGTTCACAAGGTAATATATGGTTAATTCCTTGTAAAAGTATAGCTTGCAACATAAATCTTCAAAACTATTGAATTTATTTTATTCACTTATAATTTAATACATGTCTATGGGATTTTCATTGATATGATCTTTTTTTCAAAGGTCCATAACCCTTACTTGGATGTTAATTCAATTAAAGCCTTTTCATGGCTTTGACCTAACATAAATGAGGCTGATAATGGAAAGCTTCCTGGTTGAGAAAAAACAAAAACAAAACAAAAACTTTAGTTAATTTTTTACTAATTTTATCAATAAAATTCACCAGTATAAAGAATGATTTGTGTAGGCTTGAGAATTTCAATGACCGCTCAAGATCTGGATGTTCTAATGAAGATCAATTTTAAACACATCCTGAGGAAGTTGTTTGACCTCTTCAAGGCAGTTCTAGAGAGATAGGTAGCAACATTTTCTTTATAAGAAACTGTTGTAATGTAGGGAGTGATTTAGTTCTAAAGAAATATGTCCTTTTTTGGTTATTGTTTAAACATCACTCCACTTTTTCCCAAGTTACCTAATAAGTATTGACAGAGCTTGAATTTTCAAAAATGAAAGACTTAGGTCTCTTCCCAATTTCCTTGGTCATGTTGAAAAACTGACTTGGCTATTTTGATACATAGTAGTAATATGTCCATTGGTTGTTTAACAGGATCAAATAGCAATTTTATACATGCATAACAACAGGGATATTTTTTGGCTTATTTTACAGCCGTTAGTGGGTCATATTCCAAACTGAAAATAGTATACTATTTTCCCAATCCACAGGAAAAAATTCCCAATTGAAAGTTACAAAATAAATACATGTATATTGAATAAAAATTCTAAAATCTTAAAATCTAAAAAGGGCTTCTTCACAAATCTTTGAAGATGCCATCATAGACAGTAATTGTTTGCATCCATTTAATCGCTTCAAAATTTCAGTCATGCATTTTTTTCCAATTTTTAACAAAACACTGAAATTCCCAATTCCACGGGTATGGGTCGTGATTCCAAAATCCTGGCAAAAATCCCTGTAACAGCATTGCACTTGTAGCTCCAAAATTAGTATTTTGATACAAATTTATTGAAAATCAGGATTAATTCTTGCCAAGAAAATTAACCATTATGTGAATTATGCACCTTGGTAATTTGTTGCTTATTCATTGAGATTAGCTAAGTTTTTGCTGGGAAAAAAGTATGTAATATTTTGACTTTTGTGACATGTTACTCCAAGATTATAATGTCGGGGACTTCTGTGGTCTTGTTTGTTTTGATAGTCTTGATATCTCCAAAATTTATGATGGACAAGTCCATAAAAGAATATTTAACAGTAATAGTATTGATGAGCCCTGTCTGAAAATTTTATAATATTTGGATGATGTTTTTAAAACATTACAACTCGGCTATTATTCATAATTAGCTAGGACTTAGCCATTATTGAAAGTAGTTCTGCCATGTGGTAAATTTAAGATGTAAACAAAACAGAGGGTGTAATCTTTGATAATGTGTAACAAAATGTTTATATTTGACATCCAAAAGAAAATTTTTGAAGTCTTCTTCAGCAAAATAATGATTGAAAATATGCCTGACAATCATAATCAATTTAAAAATGGGCACTAATGTAGAATTAGAACCAAATCCGAAAATACCAGAAAAAATGTCAACAGGTAGATATTTTGTACTTTCGGTTTCTACAAGCACCATAATTAGTAATAGTTATAGTACATGAAACGAGTTAGTTACGAGGATATAACACTGGCTGGGGCGACATCAAGGGGTGTTTCTGCTAAAAAATGGCGAGGCCGTTAGGCCGAGACAATTTGTTTTTGCAGAAACATCCCGAGATGTCGCCCCAGCCAGTGTTATAAACCCGTAACTAACAAGTTTCATATACTATAACTGTTTTATCGCAATGACATAATGTTTTCTTTTTTATCCCCCGCCGAAAATTTTCGGCGGAGGATATAGAAATAGTCTCCGTCCGTCCGTCCGACCTTCCGTCCGTCCGTCCGCACTCACAGGAGAGTAATTATGTGGCTAGAGGGACAATAGGTTCTCTTTGATGTCATTCATTCCGTAATGCTTTTATGTGGCTATTTTCTTTTGCGTGGCTAAAAGAACAATAGAGAGAACAATAGAGTAGCCACATAATTACTGTCCTGTGAGAACGTCCGTCCTTCCGTCCGACATTTTTGTCCGGAGCATATCTCTAAAAGTATTTGAGTTATCAACTTGAAACTTCATAGGTGGATAGACCTCATTGAGGAGGAGTGCAGTGCACAAGAATGATAACTCTACCTTGCATGATTTTTGAGTTATTGCCCTTTGTTATCCCTCGCCGATGGAATCGGGAGGGGGATATAGTTTTGGCGTTGTCCGTCCGTCCTTCCGTCCGTCCGCACTCACAGGAGAGTAATTATGTGGCTAGAGGGACAATAGGTTCTCTTTGATGTCATTCATTCCGTAATGCTTTTATGTGGCTATTTTCTTTTGCATGGCTAAAAAGAACAATGAGAGAACAATAGAGTAGCCACATAATTACTGTCCTGTGAGAACGTCCGTCCGTCCGTCCATCCGTCCGTCCGAATTTCGTTTCCGGAGTAGTTTCTCTGCAACTAATTGCTGGAATCACGAAAACTTTATGGGAATGTTGATCAGCATGTGAAGTTGTGCACCTGGGTATTTTCGT